TTAAAATAAAAACGAAAAGAAAAAAATATATACATGTATTATCAGATGACCGACGAATTGTAGTTTTTGTCTTGTCAGACGTAATTTCAATGAAGAAATGAATTGAATAAACATATATATTTTTTTTTTTCTTAATAATTTTGTAGTTTTTAAACTTAATAGTGATTAAATTTGGATTTTTAAAATTGCCAGTTTTTAATTTTAATATTAAATTTTATCATATAAATTTATAATTATTAGTTAGTAAAAATTATTTTTAATATTACACGTATTTAAAGATCTAAATAGCTATAATAGCAGGATTTTGTTGTCAAGCTTTTGAATCTTTCTGTACTTCGTTTTTGATTGGTTATTCTAGCTTTTGTAACAATGCTCCCCTAGTGTAGGATCGTTAATTCATCTGAAACTTTTAAAAACCATTTATTTTATTTTCAACACCATCACTTGATAAGACACAGAGTGTGTTGAAACAAAATGGCTATTTTTTGTAGTGATTTTTATAACATACTTATGTTATAAATTTTTTTATAAAAATAATTATATCTGCTCTACTTTGTATTGAGCACTCTTTTTAAGAATAGTAATTGTTGGTTATTGGAATTCATTCCGTGTATACCAATTATATACTTTGATATATATATATATATATATATATATATATATAGTAGCAATGTCATTTTCTGTGTAATAGAGAGGACATTTATTTAGGATAATTTTCTCAAATATTCTGAGGTTTTCTTAAGTTTGGAAAATAGAGGTGTATACTGTTTTATATTTATTGTGTTTAATTTAAAAAAAAAAAAAAAAAAAAAAAAACAGTAGGGAGAAGGAGAAAAAATCTCTAGTAAAAAATTGATTATCCAGTTTATTTATTGTTCTGCAATCACAGAACCAGAAGTATTAACAAGCATATGCAAATTTTCATATTGCCCTTAATAGATCTTAGCTGATTCATGCTGATCAATCCTTACCTCCAAACTGATTAGTTCTACCAATGTATCCAGCATTGCACTGACATTTAAAATCATAAGTCACTGATAGGATGTAGTAGACCATCTTCACAAATGGATTTCAACATGGGTTGTGAAGTGAAAACAAATCATGACTTGGTAGAAAAATAAAGCTGCACACTTTGGAAGATCTGGCTAGCAAAATTAATTCTGAGCTTCATGGTAATCATATATATATATATATATATATATATTACAATGAATCATTCATACAAAAAGTAGATTAGTAAAGTTAATGATATAAAATGGCGAAAACTCTTCACAAACAAAATTTTAAATTTGCATTAATGTACAAACCACTCGATGAATGTTATGATCCTTGTTTTTAATAACTACAAGCTGTATAAGGTCTTTTTTTAATCTGCTAGTACTTTCAACTGTACACACAGTCATCCTCAGGCATGGAAATTATATAATATACATACATAAATTCCCAAGAGGATAGAATTCAGGTAGAACTCAATCGTGATTATGATTCCAATGTAATAAAATTATAACCATGGAATATTAGTGTTTAAGCCTTTTATATTATATGTATATGTATGTCATTTCTTTTATATAGGATGGATGTGTATTTACATGGATTTATTTACAATTACATGAATCCTGTGTGCGTGTATATATATATATATATATATATATATATATATATATATGTTACCTGTGTATAAATTACAGTTAAGATATATATACATTGAATTGTATATTCACACACACACACATATATATATATATATATATATATATATATATATATATATATATATATATACATATACTTGAATATAAATTTATCTGTGTGCATTTTTGTATAAATACAATAGCGAACATGTTGATATGTCATGATATTTGTGTGTACATTTGTATTATATTTGAAACTATATATTAGATGTGTGTATATATATATATATATATATATATATATATATATATATATATATATTACACACAACATTTCAAAAGTTTGAAGCCACCCCCATAATTAGCATGGGATGAACTTGACAGAAGAGTGAAAAAGATGAATAAGCGTTCTTAGAGTCATTGAAAAAAGAACACAACCAATTATCCAACTTATACTTTGATAAACTTTTGCAACGAATGCCAAAATTTTGTGCTGCAGTAATCAAAGCTAAAGTAGAATATTTTGACAAGGGCAAAATTTAATTATAAAATCCTTTTTTTTTCTTTTTGTCATAATAAAATCTCTAATAAAAAAAAATCATGTCTCACTTTTTTAACCATGTATAACAATCTTCTCTTATTTAATGCATAAAAAAAATACTTTTTGGACTAATTTAAAAAATTACCAGGTGTGGCTTCAAACTTTTGAACTGTAGTGTATGTATCACCTGGTTCACACTCCTCCCCAGTCTTTTGAACAGGAGTAGCAGTTTTATTCCTCATTTCTGCTTTAGGATTGGGTTTCCAGTTATTCTAAAGTCTTTTTATTCTCTTTCACTCTCAGTAGATTCTTGCTTCTTAGTGACATTATCACTTTGTTTGGGGTGATTAAAAAGAAAAATTAAAAAATATATTTTATTACATCCACCCCCATAAATAAATGGACTTCTCCACTATCATTATAGTATGTATATATATATATATATATATATATATATATATATATATATATATATATCAGTATTTAAATTATGCAATGGTCAGTTTTCAACCAGCACCTGATGATTACATTGTGCATGAAATTCTAGTTGTGCTACTGGTGAGAAAAAAAAAAAGTATATTTTATATATATATATATATATATATATATATATATATATATATATATATATATATATATATATATATATACAGGGTGTTGCAACAAAATCCGACACTTGACAAAAAGAAAACAAAATAGACAATAAAAAAACAAAAGTTGTATATGCAGATACCAGACAGTTTGACAACAAACTAACGTTTTTCTCTCTACCCTTTTCCAGGATGGAATATGAGCGCAAAGCTGCGGAAGTAGCTTCTTTTTACATCGGGAAGAAGCCTGCAGAAGTGATGGCCTGGTTTGGGTTCAAGAGGATTATGGTCATGGACATTTGGAGGAAGTGGGAGGCCTGTGAGAGCCAGAACGAGTTTACTGCCAAATGAAAGGCCCACAACATTCGTTCTTCAGCCGTTAGGACCGACAATTTCATTGCCGCCGTCAAGAAGACAGTCGACAATGATGGAAGCCAGAGCTACGCCAAGATCGCTGCTGACATGGGCTGTCACAAGTTGACGATCTGCCGAAAGATCAAGAAGGACATTGGTTATTCCTCCTACCGCAAATCTCACTGCATGCTCATCACGAATGCCTCCAAGGAGTCAAGGAAGGTCAAGGCAGTGGCTTTGCTGAACGAGCTCAAGCACGGGTCCGCCAGGATGGTGAGGTTCTTCTATGATGAAAAGAATTTCATCCAGGTCCAGACGAGCAACAGGCAAAACGACAGGTGGATCTGCAAAGACATCGAGGAGGTTACCGTCGTGAAGCATACAAAGTTTCCCTCCTCCGTCATGGTCCTTGGTGTCATCTCCAGCGAGGGGGATGTCATGCCTCCATTCTTCTTTCAAAAGGTCCTGAAAGTCACCGCCGAGATCTACCAGGAGGTGCTGAGGATCGTGATGAAGCCCTGGATGGACGAGATCACCACCGGACACACCCACGTCTTCCAGCAGGGCTCTGCTCCTGCACACAAGGCCAGGACAATCTAGGTGTGGCTGCTCAACAATGTTCCTCACCACTAGTCACCAGACTTGTGGCCGTCCTCCTTACTTGACTGCAACCCTCTTGACTATTTCTTCTGGGGCATGATTGAGGCCAAGACCAACAAACATGCCCACAACACAGTCGACTCTCTGAAGGCTGCCATCGTGGAGGCGTTCACCGCTATGGACAAGGACATGGTTGCCAAAGCGTGTGACTCATTTCGCGCCCGCCTTGTGATGGTTGTCGCCACAAGCAGCAGTTACATTGAAAAATAATGTAGCATGTAACTGTTGCTAAATAAACTGTCGGGCCTCTGCATTTACAACTTTTGTTTTTATTGTCTATTCCATTTTCTTTTTGTCAAGTATCAGATTTTGCTGCAACATACTGTGTGTGCCATATATATATATATATATATATATATATATATATATATACACACACACACATTATATATATATATATATATATATATATATATATATATGCATATATATATTATTGTTATACATAATTGTCAGACCTAGTCCATTTCATATATATATATATCTCACAAAGAGGTTACATTAAGACCTTATAAACATTCCTACTGTTTACAAAGAAAAGGCTGTAGAGATTTAATGAATATTGTTTATAAAACTTTCAAACAAAAGTCTGAATATGATTGCTTTATGATAGATTGAGAAAACAGAATTGAAATATCCTAAATTTTCACAAATTACTCAAAATTAAATGTACATCAACTATAAAAGGATTACAACAAATTATCACATGTACCGGTCAATGCACAGATTCCAAAATAAGAATTCTATCAACAACATTTTGATCCCATATTAACAGACAATATATTCTATGATGTATGAATTTAGGATAGTGCATCCAGATAGATATACAAGATGCAGAAGTTCTACACTGCTAAACTTTTTGATTTCTAGCTAACAGACTTTCTAACACATCTCCAACCTGGAACTAAACCTGTTAAACTATACTATGAGTGATGTTTTAGAGATGGTCAGTAACAAAACCTTGCAATACTCTGAAGACTACTATCAAGAAAGAATTGGTCAGTATGCTCAAGGACTTCTTGGTTAAGAGTTGCACAGCTTTTTGAAGTCATGCTGAGGCTGTAATTTAAACTAATGGAAGCCATGATGAATAAATTATTTGTTTTGATATTAGTTTTATCAATAATCCTTTGTATGAAGAAGCCCATTTATGCTTAATAAGTGAGTTTCAAAGTTTACAAGTTTTGCTTACCCATCCTGTATATTCAAAAAGTTTTAACTTACCAAATTCTTCTTGATAGAATGACCAGCTTTCATAGTGCTGACCACCTTGGAAATCTTCCTTAAGACCTTCTTCCCCATGAAGGTCATATTTTTTTCTAAGTTGATCATCTTTAAGGACTTCATAGGCACGAGTAATTTTCAGAAATTTTTCATGAGCTTTGGGATCATCCTGAAAAAAAAAAGAAAAAGAAAAAAATGGAGTAATTGCAAAATATAACATCTATAAACAATTTTTGTCTGAATTTCTGAGATGAGGAGTTACACTATATATTCAGACTATTGTCATCTTTGTGGTTGTTATCACTATCTTTTGGCTGTTGTGCCATCTGGCTTTATCCAGGTGTATATTGATCTGTGTAATCTACAGGGAATTCTGAAATAAACACTTTATTTAATCTACAGAGATAGGCTGCTTTCATTCCACTGATCATGTGAAAGGATATTATCTAGTTCTTATTTTTCAATTTTTGGGTCAAGCAGTGTGTACTTGCACCCCATGGAAATGGGCAAAAAATAACTGAACAGTACAAAATAAAAATAAGAACTTTCTTTGCTATTTTAACAAAATAATTTTCATTGATAGTCAGTTTTTGCTACACCTCATATTCTTGACTATGTTTTTTAAATGACCAGTTTTACCCATTATTATTAAAAAGTTTAAGTCATTATCATACTCCAGAAGGTAGAACTCTGATGTCAGAAAACACTGGGTCACTTTAACCTGTTCATGAGTGGTAAATATCCTCTTCTCACCAGGTAATCTGACACTTCATCTGTTCCACATAACCTCATATTACTCATACAACAAACTCCTTCAGTAACCCTCTACCTCAAGTAGATTTTGGGCCTTGTATAGAGTAAACATTTGTAAAAAAAGAAAAATAAATTATTTTCCTGTAATACAGAAAGAGAAAGGTAAGTATATATCATCAGAAATAACTCTTGAAAAATATCATTATCATAAATTCAGGCTGATAAAGATTGTTAGAGAAACAGTAAAGTTATTCAACAAAGCTTATTACAACAAACAAAAAAGTACTTACTGTTTTCTTATCAGGATGTTCAGATACAGCCAATTTTTTAAATGCCTTTCGAATTTCTTTGGTGCTTGCTGATCGGGGCACATTTAAAATTTCATAAAAGTCCTGGTCAGCTAATGAAAAAGTCAATAGTTGCAAGCAGAAGAAGCTGACCATGAGCCATGATTGCCATGGGATTGTAGTCTTTACACTGACCAACATGGTCAAATTTGTAGAATGTAGAATGAAGGCAGTTCTTTGATAAACTTGTTTTCAGGTCAAAAAGACCCAATATTCCTCAGATCATTTTCATAAAAACAAGTTAGAAATCTATAAAACAATAAAAAAGAAAAGGTTTGAATAAATGATTCATGTTTGGTGTAAATAAAGACAAAATTTCTTATAAACAGAAATATAAGGTAAAATTCATTCATTTAATCAGTTAGCTCATCTTTCAGTGCTGTGGTCACTACTCTCCACCATCTCCCAATTGTGGTTCATGGGTGACATTCAAGGCAGAAGAGTGCAATGGCCTGCTGGTTTGTTTTACACCAGGGATGTTGAGGTTACCCTGTCCCTCCTCCCAGAAGTTAAAGATTCCCTTCATGTGTCTTTGATAAGTTCCATACAGACAACTTCTTCCCCAGAACTGTTTATGGAATAGACTCCCAGGAGAGATGTTTCCCTGACCACTACAATCTTAACCTTTTCAAGTCCAGAATCAATCATTATCTATCCAACATATCCTCTTAATATGCACTTCTTGTTTCCTCCTTACAAGAATTCTACTCAGTAGCTATCTAGCTTGAGTGGCTCTTGGGCTTTGCATTGGGTAAACTAAAGTAAAAAAAATTAAAAATTAAAGATTATTCCATTAGAAATAGTTTTCATTTGGCCAATTATATGTTACTTAGAGGGTTGAAAGTTGCTCTGTAATTAATTTAAGCTATGCTTCAAAATCCAGCCTTCACTAAAATAAAATCTCCAAAAATTTGACAGACAAAAAATAAAAAAAGATGCTCAAACACTGATACATGTATAAATTTATTTTAGTAAAATTAAGTTTCTTGAATATCAGAAAGAAGAGAAAAATTAAGTGTGATTTTAATAATTTAAAAATGAAAATCAAATTTGATTTAAAATAAAAAATACCCTAACAAGATTTTGATGCACCCACAAAAAAAAAAAAATTATTTGTGTAGGGTGAGATGTATGAACAATATACAAAGATTTTGTTTTATTTTAAATCAGAAAAACAGGTCAGATGATAGCAATCTTGGTCTATGGTTTTCATTAAAACATGACTACAGATACTAGGAACATTAAAAAAACTCAAGGGCATCAGACCTTCTATGAGATTGCCATGTGAGGAGAGTCATCAAAATGAAGAGAACAGATTCTGTCTTCAACTCACATAAACTCCCAATTAAAAGAACACTTGTGTGACCAAATAGTACTACACAAAATTCAGTGGAGTCAGTGATGATCAATACGATAAAGATCATTTATAAATGGAAAGGAATTAAAGCATAGGAGAAATGACCACTCAGGGCTAAATACTGTCAATGAAAAAGTAGGAAATAAAGAATAACACAATGATAAAACATTTTTGTACATGTGAGAAAAGACAAATCCCTGAAAATATAAAAAAAAAAGAAAAAAATGCCAAAGAAAGGAGAAAGATATAAAAAAAGAGAAGAGAAGAAAAAAAATGAGGAAAAAATGCTAAGTGTTTTTGTTGTAATCATATTGCACACACCACATGCATTTCTACATTCAGATATTCTTTCTTTCAAGATATTTTATGCATAATTAAAATTTTGTTGTACTTTATATTTTTGTTTTGTCTCTGTTGGTCTTCCTTATTTATATGTTTTTGACCCTGTGAGAGAAAATACACTATCATAGTGCAATCCAGGTCATATACTTGGCAATTGATTCACTTTATTTTTTTATGTTTTTTTTTTTTTATTTTTTTTTATTTACGTTGTGGCACTCACAGGTTTTTTATATATATATATATATATATATATATATATATATATATATAATTACACACATCAACTAATGATTTTAAAATCTTTTACATTTACATATCTACAGCTCTGGGAAATACCTTTCAAAAGAATCTAACCAAATGCTTTTTCAGTTGAAGAAAACAAAAAAAAAAAAAAAGAGATACACAAACATGTCCAAAAAAAGCATGAAGATGAAAAGAGACAAAAATAGATTTATCTAATACGGATGTTAGAGGCTGATGAAAAATGAATCTACGAAAACATAATAAAAAGACAAGGACAAAAAAAAAGGTCAAATTGAAATCAGTTTTGACTTGACATTTGGTTAATAAAAGCTTTGTTGTTTTGTTTTTTAATTTGTATCTGCTAATAGAATATTTAAAGCATCGAAGCTCATCAACTCCCAAGATGGGCCAAACATGAAAAAGCATCAATAGCAACTGACCCAGCCACTCACCTGCTACAACTTGCAGCTGATTGACTGTACAAAAGCTGATCAAATAGAATTGAAATATTGAAGATTTCATGCTATATATAATCAGCAAATATTGATATCCTTTGAAGTTTTCAAGATTCATTTCCTTTAAGGCAGTTTTGCCCACTGCAACAAAGACTAGATTGCAAGAGGCAAAAGGATTTACAGTCACATGATCTATGTTGAAGTTTTTATATCAGAAACATTAAGGACAGGTACACTTAGCTCATTGGTACAAACCAGATCCATGGTTTCATTTGCTAATGCCTGTCACTAAAAACAATATTTAGAGGGAAAGGGAGATCACTCCCCTCTGTGTGATGAAGTTTAAATAATAGACAGTGAACATCACTGGAAAATACAAAACTTTAAGGAATTAGCACATATGCTAGGCCACAAAAATCTCCTAAGCCGGCCAAGCATAGACATGAATACAATATGGGAACCAGTAATACAGAAAGCTAGGGAAAAACAACAATAACAGAAATTGTAATATGAGCTTGATAAAAAAAAAGGTTACTGGGACATTAGGTTTATAAGTTTCAGAAATTCACTCATTGATGTCACATTGGTAAAAGCATTGTTTGAGTAATCTAAAAAAGTGACTTAACCCAAAAGAGTTGCGAGTTCAATACCTGGCCACAGCAGAAGGAACAAAACATGAAGAGCTGAATTACTAAAGGGAATTAACTGATACTGAGATATCAAAAAAAGACATGGCATGTGGAACTAGAACAATCAACCCTCATGTACTAAATAAAGGGTTTGGTTTGAAATTCAAACATATATCACCTGAAGAAGATCAGAGCTTACAACAGTCAAAACGTTGTGAATATGACAATAAAGATGAGGACAATAGCCCAAACAATGTATATAAACACAAGGGATTCAAAAACTTCCTCCAAAAAGCTTTATAAACCTGGAAAACTTACCTTTTCGTTTTTTTTACTACAATTTAACTATAAGAATGAACATTCAACACAACAGGATGTAATTAGTAATTCACATTCATCACATTTACAATGATTCTATGACTTAGCCTTTTCTACTTTTCACAAAAATAGTCAATTAAATTAATGAAGAGTGCAATTGGGAATTGGAAAAAAATTAAAAACATTAATTAGTTACAATAAATAAAATTGGACAGAAACAGGCTGAGAGCTATGGTGAGATTTGAACCTGTGAATAACTAAAATATGTAAAATATATTTATTTATACTTACTGTGAGCATAATTATACATCTTTACAAACTTACTTTACCTGATGTCGACGTGTATGTACATTTTGAACACACTGTGAAATGCCTCCAGCATTTGTACTATAAACTAACTTGCGCCTAGTGCTATTTTCAAACCAGCATAGACATATAGCAGTTTACAATGAGACTTGCTTTGTGATGTTTTTGTGATTTATTTCCAGAAAATGACAATTTCCTATTTTTCTGAAAAAAAGCCAGCACAACCAATGTAAGTGTTAAACCAGTGGTTACCTTGTGGAACAGACTCTCAAGAGGATGTCACCCCGATCACAGCAATCTTAACCAGTTCTAGTCTCGGATTAACTGTTCTCTTTCCCATAAACTGTGCCTCTTGCACTCTAATCCTCTACCTAGAGTGGCACTTGGGCCTTGTACAGAGAGACCATCATTGTGAAATAAAAGAATTCACTCTTACTTTTTCTAAATTGGGTGGACATGACAAGCAGAGCATGAATACTTTGTCATGATCTGATACCCAATGCTATAACATTCACCCAAACATTTTTATTTTCTTATGAAAAAAGCCTGAAAAAAGATTATACAAAAATAACTTTTGGCTTAGAGTCAGTGAGATTTATGAGTAATTTTGCCTAAGATTATCTTGCTGGCAACATCTATAAAACATGTGTGCACACGAAAGGTTTGTGTCAATTGGGGTTCATCAATAGTTGTAGACATTTTGTAGAAAGAAGACATCTCATACTGTAATCTAGTCACCTATAGCTACATGATCAATTTCTCAATGAAAACTGATGTCTATCATGTGTAGACTTGTAATGACCAGACATACACAATAACTATTGATAGAATATTAATAAGTTTAATGAAAACAATTTTCTTCTCTTCCATCTTGCAAGCTTATAAATCAACCACACATCCGTGCATTGAATATTGCTACCATATCTTGTCTGGTGCTCCTGTCATACATCTTGTGATTCTTGACAAAATCTAAAGGGTCTGGAATATAATCAATCCTGACCAGGCATCTTGACTTCAGTCACTTTCTCACCAATGTGATATGGCTTCCCTCAGTCTTTTCTACAAATATTTTCATGGCAATTACTCTGATGAGCTTTTTTTTTTTCCCCTGGTGTCCTGACATGAACTTAAGTGTGCTACTAGATTGGCAACTAAGTTTCACCATTTTACTGTTTACCTAGATGTGTGCAACAGTCACTTCTACTCTAGAAGTTTTATTTTCTCACACTTCCCACCTATGGAACTCCCTGACAATTTCTTGATTCCCTGGTAACTACAATCTTCAAAACTTTAAATCTAACCATTTTACTGCTAAACTAGGTTCTTACTGTTTTAAAATAGATTTTTCCCCCAATGCCTTGAATTTAAGTGGGCTACTAGATTGACAAGTAGGTCTCAATCTTCAAAAATTTAAATGCAGCATCAATTGCCATCTTCTGTCTTCTTGAACCCTGTTTCATTTTTCTACTTTCCTCAACCCTCCCCATTCTTAGTTTTCTCTTTCTCTGTAATCCCCTGCATTCTAGTGATATAATCACCTTCATCTGAAGTAAAATGATTAAAAAAAATTCCAGGGCAAAAGCATAATCCATAGAACAT